AAGATTTACTAAAACAATGTGCTGATCCCTGAACTAAGGTGTGAGCTCTGAGCATGTTATGATTCATCTGTGCATGAGGTGGCTGTTTCCAGTATTGGGATATCAGGAACCAGAACACTAAAAGGCAGTGAGCTGGCATAATGGGATTATCATTTCATACACAGATGCATTAATGTAACAATGTTCTCCTCTGTAGAAAATAAACCAGCATTCTGTGAACTCAAAAAAACCCTTAAAACTATGGAATCATTCACAGAGCAATGGAAGGATGAAAGACATTATTTCTTATTGTCAAATGGCAGAAGCAGAACACCTTGTATGTGGCTCAGGGAGTCTGTGAGTTTGGCAATCAATAATAATGACATGGATTAAAAGCCCACTTAGATAAGGTGGTTTGGTCAAAGAATTTAAAACGACATATAGAACACCAACATATTTTCTTATTTTGGTTTTATGAGACAGGGTTTCTCTGTATTGTTTTGGAGGCTGTCGGTCCAGCCTAGCCTCAAATTCACAGAGATCCGCCTGCCTCTGCCTCCCTAGTGCTTGGGATTAAAGGCGTGTGCCACCACCGCCTGGCACACCAACATATTTTCAAGTTTTTAATTTTACTATTGCTGTAGTTGGGTATATACACCCACTCACTTGAAGCACTGAAAGAGAACAGCTAAATAGATAAGTCCCAGGAACAAGATGAAAGCAGCATCCTGGGAAAGCCTGTCTAGCAGAAAGACAGCTGATCCAAGAGTGGCATTTGTAATAGCTCCCTACTGACTCTGGGAGCAAGTGAATACTGTCTTAGGCCAGTGACCCATGTCTCCTTCACTTCTGTTCCGTGAAGGAAACCACTGGTAGTATGGTGGACCCCACATCTACTCAAAGAAGACATTCTGTGAATACTGGCCACAATGTTGTTCCTCTCTTCTCTCCCATTTGAAACATATCACTTTTAAAAGTGCATAATTAGTAGAAAATTACTTGCTACAAAACTCAAGCAATGACTAGCATGCCTCCCATGACAGCTGGGAACTGTAGGCTTAGCCTGTGTTTCACTGTGAGCAGGTAGGGAATTTGGTGATTTCTGTGGCTTCTTCAAAGCAAACTTTGGTGAACAGAAATGCTCCCTGAAAGTGAGGCAGGTGGTTTCTGTTCATGAATCCTGTTCTCTCACTAGGGATTGGATGAGACTAAGCCTCTCTCCCTGCAGTAACTAAGGTCTGAGGGCAATGACCACGGACACGCTCTACCAGCTCCCTTCACATTGCATACTTCCATCGGCATTCACCCTCTCACATTCAACTGGAATGGCAGCTTTTCATTTCTCTCTCAAGATCTGCCTTTCTTAAAACTTGAGCCTCTCCTTTAGGAGTTCTAGTTTTATTTAAAGGGTTTATTTCCATGTTTCTAGCCCAGAGCCTTTTGTAGTTTAAACAAAGAATTTCCCAAGATGGTTTCCAAGTTGCAGAAAGACTCTATACCCCTTGACTGGGAGTCTTTCATGATACTCATATGCAGTACAGAGAAGATTTGAAGATTCAGTTCAGCCATCTCTCTTCTAGAAGTTTCCACTGTTCCAAGACACCTGTGTTTGGCCTCTCTCTGGTGTCTTTAATAGAAATCCTTCCAGGGCACTAAGCACTATATTTACTTAGTATCTATTTATATTCCCTTTTTTACTACCCAAATTGAAAGCTCCTTCAGTGACTGGGCCTCATGTACCTCCATGTTTCTAGTTCTCAGCACAATGTCTGGGACATGAAGGCATTTACATATTTTCCAAGTTAAATAATGAATACAACAGCCCCCCACCCCCACACACAGACACATACACATTCAGTGTTACTGTAGCAACTGATAGAAATTTGAGAAGGAACCTTCTATTTTTTTAAATTTATCTATTTATTACGAATACAACACCCTGCCTCCATGTACACATCAGAAGAGGGCACCAGATCTCATTACAGATGGTTGTGAGCCACCATGTGGTTGCTGGGAATCGAACTCATGACCTCTGAAAGAGCAGTCAGTGCTCTTAACCTATAAGCCGTCTCTCCAGCCCCCAGAGTATTCTATTAACAACCATCAAGAACAAAAATCTGCAGCTTTATAAAGGAGAAATTTTCAAATGTCTGGATCACAGAAAGGAATTTGGCCTATATTTAATGAAAGCGATAAGCAATGAAAACATTTACAGTTAAAATGAAAGCAACTCCGTGCAAGGTACTTAAGAGAAAGAGAACAATGATTAAGGGCAAGGCTCCTGTGGAGACAACACAGCCAGAGACCTCAGGCACCAGGCTGCAGTGGCCCTGCATCTTAGCAGCAGAGCTGATTAGGTTGAGATTAGAGAGAACTTCTAGGAACAGCCACCTGTCTCCCTGGAGTACTGCTCGCTTCAGACCTCTAATTTATTTCATATTGTTGACTAATTGCGCCTCTGAGAGTACAACTAAATAAAGCTTTCTCCACCTCAAACATTTGCTGAGCAGAAACCCAACTGTGAAAGGTCAGACGGTGATGATGCTTTTGTAGGCTTGGAGACACTGAGTTAAAAGATTTTTGTGAGTACCTAACTTATTAAGATTCGAAGTCCACAGCAAGTGTTCTTCAATAATCTACCTCCCAATACATTCGGTACAAGTAGAGTATGAACTTTAGGAAAATTACAGATAAGACACAGGATGTGTGCAATAAAATCAAATTAAACTATCTCTACATGGTACTGAAATCCAAATATCTGAGTTTACTTAGAGAAAAACCCAACTGCAGGAACAGAGGTAGGTTCTTCAATCAGAAGTTTGCTTTATTATTACAGGAGTATCTAGATTTGAAACAAACACCCCAGAGACTTTTGATGAAATAGGGAACATAAATCTTACACTTCATCTTCAGACTCTGAGGGAAGTCTGTGGATATTTGCCTAAAGTAAAATGCCTGGCAAGATCCTCTCATTTTAATTAGTTTGTAAGACTGGCATGGATTTCAGAGCAAAATAAATCTCCAAAGGTCTAATTAGCTGCTCAGTGATTAAACTCCATCTTCCACATTCCCTTTGCTTTTTAATTTTATTTAAAACACAAAGAGCTGGCTTGTCTTAGCTTTGTAGTCAGACACCTAGTCTATCAGCTTTAGTCAGGGCAGATGTGCAGTGCAGGAGTAACTCTTGACACCTGCACACTTCCAATTCCTAACTATTTGCCTAAGCTTCCATAATGGCATGGTATTTAGCTATGCAGCGTGCTGTAAGTGCTCTCAAGAGGAGTGAAAGGCGAGATAGCTGAGCAAGTGCTCAGAGGCTGGTGCACGTCAACAATCTGTGGGTTCCTCGGGAAGAAGCGAAGCTGCCATCCCGAGGATGTGTGTCTATCTAGAGGCATGGAGTCGACACAGGATGGCTAAGCTACTATTTCTACCAGTCAAGTGTTTATCAGCCTTGGGTGAAGATCAAGAGGAGATGGGAAATAGGGACAGACTTTGACTTTAGTTGGACAAAGTAGCTGCCAGGTACTGGGTATGAGAGCTAAATTCTCAGGCTTTGGGGCAAGACTCAGAACACTGGTATGGGATATCAGCCATGGGCAGCCACTGGCAAAGCCAAGGTAAGGAACAGATGCAGGATGGCTGGCCAGGCTGGAACTGCCCAGTTGTACTTCATACGAGCTGGCATTTTGTCCTCATCTTTTCAGGAGCTCCACTGTTCTCTCCTGCTTGTTTCAGTGTTCCTTCCTTTACTTGAAACACACTTAGTTCTGACCTCCTGTTCAGGCTCCACCAGAAGGTCACCAAAGTCTCCAGCCAGAGCTTAGTTGGCTATATCACAGTGTCATTACATATCTCTTCCGTCCTCACTTCTAGACTGTGAATGCCACATATTCGGGAATATCTACGTTGTGTGCACAGACGCTAGAAGTAAGCAATTTTTAGTTTATCTATGAACCCATTAGGAGGAAAACTGAAAAGATGGGAAGCATCAAGGAACATTATGTTTTCCTCATCAGAAATGTAGCAAAGCAGCCCACTGGAAATGAGATAGACTAATAAAAAAATACAAAAAACTAAACAAAACAAAAAATTAGGCCCATAAAAATCTTCTGAGAAAGCCAAACTATAATATAAAGAAAAATATTTGTTACAATAGTGTGCAGAGGCAAAACATTAACAATGCTTAAATGTGCTCTCTGGGTACCACGGGCTCACAACACCCTCTTTCAGCACAGGGACTTGGCCTTCACTTCCCAGGCACAGTATTCGTTGAACATTTCAACACGTACTCATCCCCTTAAGTCTAAACATCTCTTGCTACGGACAACCTCAAAGTGGAAGAGAAAGGACATGGAATATCCCAAGAGAAAAAGAGATTTAATTCACAAACCCCAGCCTCACTTGTTGGGGACCTATGTTTCAGACAGAGTGCTAAATAATTTACTTGTCTTTAGTCAACCAGAAACATTCCTAAGTGGGCATCAGTATTCGCATGTACTGCCATATGAAAATAGAAACTCAGAGAAAAAACTGGACTTTTCCAATCGTGGTGAAAGCAGAGTCTAGGCCAGGTCCACTGGACTCCCAAACTGCTCTCTCCTCACTATTCTGACTTGCCTCTGGTGGGAACCATCCTCATAGGAAAGTGCACTGAAATCGGAGAGAGACTCAAAGTCCCTTACGAGATTTGAGACATCATTCTCCATTTTATTACCTTTTCTTTCACCAAAATGTAAGCACAGCTCTACATACATCACCATGACTAGGGCAAGTGATGACAAAATCTCTCAGGGAAAGCACACCGCGCCATTCATCTTCAGTGTTTCTGTTCTCTGGATGGACACAGGGAAGACAGGCTGCGTTCCAGTTTGTACTTCTAAGCATGCAGTGAAAGGAGCGTGTTTTTGCTTGTTTGTTTTTAAACAGAACACTTGGAGACTAGTTCTAGGCAGCTTCAGACTCCCCTCTTCCAGTGGACAAACCCCATGCCAAGGGAAGGCTAAGAAGTGAAGACTCACCCGTTCCATTTCCTTGAAGTCATCATCTAGCTTGGTGCCTTCAGCTCCTCCAACCTTCTCACTCACTTTCTGCAGAAGGTAACAACAAAAAGGAAACATTAGAAATTGTTTCTTTCCTTTACAAAACCCTGTTAAAAGTTTCGAGCACTTTCAGAAGCAGCACCTACGTAACCTTGGAACCACTCTCCGACTGTGGTAGGCCGCTCCGTTCTCGTGGCAGCATAGTGTTAGCTTATAGTGGCTAAGCAACAGCCTACAGGTTATGCATCTGGTGGGTACTGGAGCTGGACTTCAAAGCTGCATCTTCTGATTTCAACCCCGTGCTCTTTCTATTACACAAATTACTTTACAACTACCTAATTGCTAACATTTTCCTTTGTAACTCTTAAGGAACACCAGCATCACACGATAATCATTTTCCTCTGATAAAGGATCTAAACTGCTCCTAGGTAGAAAATTGCTACTTGTTCAACCTGCTCCTCAATGGGCTATTGAACAGATAATCACAGCCATCCATTTAACTATTAAGAAATGAGCCCTATGATTCCAGATAAAAGGACTTGCTTTCTACTCTCCCTGTTTATATCGACGCAAGCAGGTGCTGAGCTATATCAAACTATGTTCAGGCATTTCCTTGCTACTCAATCATATCCCATTACTAGACATCTCATATTTATCAGTTATCATAGTTCACATATAATATTCATGTTAATAAAAGTGGATATACTAGTCTTTTCTGAAATAATGATTCAAATTAAGGACAATAAAAATACGACAAGATCACAGAAAAAGATTTCATCAAAGACAGGATTATTGAATTTTTCCAAATACCCTAACTGTAAAGGCAGATACATGTTTTTGCCCAAAACATGACTGAATTACACAAAGTTCACACAAACAGATAGTGAAGTTCTAACATCCTTCAAGAGTTGCTTGGCTGAGAGTGTGCACTGTGGTCTGCCTGCAGCAAACTTCATAGTGATTCAGATTTTCTCAGTGAGCTTGGCTCATGGTTCTTGTAGGGGTTTCTGGAGACCTAGCTCCAACTCCTGGATCTAAAAGTACTGGCAAGCTCTTGGTGGTCCCTGAGATGACTTTCTTACCCTTTCTTTCTTTCTGCCTTTTTCTGTCTTCTGCCAAGAGGAAAATATTCAGAAGAGACTACCATTACTGCCCTAAGATGCCACTGTTTATTGCACCAGCATGGGATAGAATATTCACAGATGAGGTACATGGAGGTGTCATGAAAATTATGTGTATAAGAACCTAAATTTGAACCAGAGATTTATACAACAAACTCTACTCCCTAGGAAGGTGTATACCTGCTTCTCAGCAGTTTGTTTAATTTTCATTCTACACTTTGAGAAGCCAAAATTTTCTTTAATGTAATCATAGATAAAGGTTCAATGTTTCAAATGGAAAGATTAATGAAAATAATAGCAATAAATTTATATCTATGTCACTTTGCTTAGTTACAGTAATTTAGCTACTATTTCAGTCCTTCTTCTGCTTATGCTCAAAATATATAGTTGACCATTGTTTTGGGGCAAGCAAACTCTAATCTACTGTGACTATAAATTGACATCTCTGTTCAATACAACTGTTTCTAATGTTGGAAAAACTCACCATGTCCAAATTCTCTTATCAGGTGATCATTATAGTGAGACCCCTCATGTGACCTGTAATTGTGGTCACAGTTCTTCAATTACTTCCAAATAGATACCAAAAGCATGTGTTGTGTGAGGGTTATTTGTCCTGCATGTCCCCTGCTATTCTACCCCCAAATAAACACACATACACTATTATTAACCCATTTCTATTAACCTATGTATTTCCGCATGGTCTTGGGTTTACTGAAGAATGCCTGGACCTGTTTCTCCTTTTGGCAGCTACATGGCATCTGTCTCTGGTGGGCTCTTCTGCCTACTTTACCCAGAATTTTCCTCTTCTTATTGGCCAAACAGTGTTTTATTCATCAATCAATAAGAGAAACATATATACAGAAGGACATCCCCCATCGAGCATGTAGCTAAGAAATGCCTCTATGTGTATTAAAATGAGATAATTCTGATACTGAGGAGATAATCCAGTTTTTATCAACTCTTAAAAACTACATGACTTTCATGCAAATCACAAAAATTCATAACACATTTTCAATAATATGGTGCAACTAAGAACTGGTTTTATTTCCCTTTTTTCTATACCCCTCGATCAATAAGCACCACAGTAGCTGACTCTAGATATCAATGGGACACTAGGGTCATGCTAGTGATTTGTAACTCGTACTAATTACTCTACTGGCTTCAGCTATTTTGTTTACAGAGCATGACCAAAAATGGGTGGAGAAGAAAAGAGAACACAACTAGACTAGGGCAAGAACAATTATTTCTTTTTTTTCTGCCAAAGGTGACATTTAAACTTCTTTGAAATGGTAAACCACACAGAATGAATGAAGCCGGCATGTATGTTCATACTGATGATATATTAATTGACTGGTTGATATGCAACTTTCAAGTTATATTCCTGAAAGAGAACCAGTACTCAAAAATAACTTCCACCTATTACCTTTGATATTTTCCACATATATATACACATATATATACATATATATATTGGCACAGAGATAAATATTGGGCTACTTAAAATAAGTTGACTTATTCTGTAGGAGTATAGCAAATATCTCTTTTTGTTTGAATAATTGCCACTAAAACTTAACTTCTCATGAGTAATACTTAAAGTAAGGGAAATGGGTCTCTTGAGCCTGCATATCCAATGATGATGGCTTCTGGCATTATTATCAGGTATCTGTTTATTTTGTGCTATCATTTTCCACAGAAGTGGATCCTAAAACTAAGATATCATAATAGTTAATATATTGAGTATTTCTGATACCATTGAATATTCTAGTCCTTTGCAAATTTGCTCACTTACTTAAACTAAGTAAAAGCTATTGATTTAAACAGAAAAGTACAGAACAGGCACTCTTTCTATTCATAACAGAGACAAACCTAAAACAACACCTAAATACTGAAGGAATCAGCCCCCAGCTTTGACAGCCATGACAGACTGCAGAAAAGACTCAGTAACTTGTGCTGAGCTTCTGACCTTCCCTACTTACTGGGAATAAACCGCCAGATCCCCTTCACGTGGCAAAGAACCAATCAGAGGTTAGATGGCGTGTTCTGGATGTGCTTTATGGTAACAGTGGAGTGCTGGAGTGCAGAGCACAGCAACCACCCTGGGAGGGCCTCCAGGCATAGCAACATTCCTGCAGCTGTAGTTGACCAATCAACGCAGGACAGGCCGCCCAAGCCTGAAGATGCATCTTCCTGAGACTGTTGCTATGCAACTAGCAGACCCCCCCCCCCAGACACTCTGCTTGCTCTACTCCAATATAATCCCTGTCTCACTGCTGTTCCAAGTCCCCTGCCTGGATCAGCCTGCTTCATTCGCTGTGTTGGATGGACTGGGGAATGGAGTTAACTTGTAAAATTAAAAACTCTTTGCTTTTGTATTGAATCATGTTTCTTGGCGATTTGAGGGTTCAGAGTTTGGGTACAACAAATAAAACTCCCCAATGTCATCTAAAAATCTATAACATTAACGGTTCAAGATGGCCGATGGCACCTCTTTAGTATAAAAGGGAGGTTGTACTTCTATTTGTCTCTGTCACTATTCTTATGTACTGTGTTTTAATCTAACCAATAATCTTTCAAATTAAAAAATCTAAACCGATGACTGTACCCGCCTTTATCCTACTCTTGATTATATTCCCTAAGAAGAATTGGGTAAAGATTAGCCAAAGTGAACTGAGAGGGGCAAATAAGACTGATCACTCTAGGCAGTCTTTCAGAAACTACAGCTTTCCAATAACAACAGCAATCAGGTCTAGTTTACATCCAATGCTTAGTTCTGATTCTGCACACTCTCAGGCTGTTGTCTGTCTGCTAAATAAACATGATGCAAAGGAGAATCTGCAACAAGAGACATCTCCAACAAATAACTACTGTCCCTGGTCCAGAGAACGCTGACCTGCTTGGCAACAGTGACTAATCAGCCCTCCAGCCACCTGTCACCTCCGGCTCCATCTTCTCTATGCAGCTCTGATCCTGGGCAGCACTACATTTCATTTACCAAATATGTTAGAGCCAGGTCTCCTCACCATAAAAGGATTACGTTAGTCTATGGACTCTTTCACCTCTTATTTAGGTCCTAACTTCTCTGTTTACCTCTGTTTTTGATCCACTTTATCTCCTGGTGCTGCACGATATTTGATCACACTGTGACCCCTGAGATTGTGTTATTTCCTGGAAAAACCTGTTTCTAGTTGGGGTGTGGCTCAGGCCTAACAAATACCTTGACTCTAAGAGCAGTCTACTAGAGTATTGTAAACAAGATTAAATAAAGTCAATTGTAGGTTAAGAGGCAGAGCAAGCCACCAGTTGGCAGGAAATGGCCATAGAGAGTAAGATGGAGTCAGTAAGGTGGACAGAGAGAGGCACAGGACTTACAAGGGAGGGACATTCAGTTTGAAGAGTTTTGTTTGAGGCAGAGTAAGAGAAAGCTCGCTTTCTAGAATGTTGACAGAGAGGAGGGTAAGCTGGGTGCTTTCTCCACCTCTCTGAGCTAGCAGGTTTTCACACCAGCATCTGGCTCCTGGGTTTTATTGGTAAAATTGAACAATTGCGATTTAGTCAGAAACAACATTCCACTGTCTCTCATACAAAGCCAAGTTTCTTTGCTATACACCAAACATGCCGTTTTTATTTCTTATGCTTTACCTATCCCCTTTTCTGTTCTTCAAATCCTATATATTGTTTAAAATGTACACCGAAGTTCTCCATCATCAGTGATTGCTCAACCTAGCAGAACACTTTCAGACTTCTTCATGACTCTTTTTTTCTCAATATATTTTTATTTAAATTAGAAACATGCATGCTTTACATGTTGATCCCAGCTCCCTCTCCCACCCCTCCTCCCTTGCCCATCTACAAGCTCCCCCAACCCCTCACCCAATCCCCACACCATTCCCCATGGAGGGTAAGGCTCTTCATGGGGGAAGACTTCTT